CCCCGCTCCCTCCTCCCGGACCTGACGGCGTGGACGTGCCCGTCGAGCTGCCGCACCGCCGGCCGCAGGAACTGCAGCAACCCCTCAGCGAACAACTCCCGAGCCGCCGGTCCGCCACCGCTGCCTCCGCCGCCGCCTCCTCCTCCTCCTCCACCGCTCCCCGCCGCCATCTTGGCGCCGCCGCGGGGGCCGCCGGGAAATGGCGGCGGGCGGAGCCGGAAGAGAGCCACTTCCGGTGCCTCGCCGCAAGGCCTGTTGGGAAATGTAGTCCTTTCCGGGATCCAGCTGTAGGCGCAGCTGGAGATGCAGCTGGAGATGCAGCTGGCGCATTCCGGTGCCAAAAGTGATGCTCCAACCCAAATAATGCTTAAATCAGCACCAAAACCACGCAGCTGGGGCTGGATTTTCTGCAATATTTTGGTTTTTTTTATATTTTGCCTTTTTTTTCTTACAAAATATTAAATTTTGAAGCGGGGTCAGGGCTCGGCGACGGGGATGGTGTGCAGGACCTCGTCCAGCAGCTGCAGGGCGCGATGGAGGTGCACCTCGATCCAGCACGGCGTGTGCTTGATGCTCTGCCGGGGGTAGTCGGGCCCCCAGCCCTTAACGAAGCTCAGCCGCAGGATGCAGAGTCGCCGCAGGTCGTCCACCCCGATCCCCGCCGCCGCCGACAGCCCTGACCCCACGGGGGGGGACACACACGGACGTGGGTGGAGGATCCCCCTTGGTGGGGCTTCATCCCTATGTCCCCCTTCCCCGGGGTTGGGGGGGACACACGGACATGGGTGGAAGATCCCCCTTGATGGGGCTTCATCCCCACGTCCCCCTTCCCCGGGGTTGAGGGGGGACACACAGAGGTGGGTGGAGGATCCCCCTTGGTGGGGCTTCATCCCCACGTTCCCCTTCCCCAGGGTTGGGGGGGACACACAGATGTGGGTGGAGGATGGGGGACACCTAGACATGGGTGGAGGATCCCCCTTGGTGGGGCTCCATCCCCACGTCCCCCTTCCCCAGAGTTGGGGGGGACACACAGAGGTGGGTGGAGGATCCCCCTTGGTGGGGCTTCATCCCCACGTCCCCCTTCCCCAGGGGCTTCATCCCCACGTCCCCCTTCATCCCCATGTCTCCCTTCCCCGGGGTTGGGGGGGACACACAGACGTGGGTGGAGGATCCCCCTTGGTGGGCCTTCATCCCCACGTCCCCCTTCCCCAGAGTTGGGGGGGACACACAGACATGGGTGGAGGATCCCCCTTGGTGGGCCTTCATCCCCACGTCCCCCTTCCCCAGAGTTGGGGGGGACACACAGACATGGGTGGAGGATCCCCCTTGGTGGGCCTTCATCCCCACGTCCCCCTTCCCCAGAGTTGGGGGGGACACACAGACATGGGTGGAGGATCCCCCTTGGTGGGCCTTCATCCCCACGTCCCCCTTCCCCAGAGTTGGGGGGGACACACAGACATGGGTGGAGGATCCCCCTTGGTGGGGCTTCATCCCCGTGTCCCCCTTCCCTGGGGTTTGGGGGGGGTCACTCACCCATGGCGGGGGCGATGCCTCCCACCGAGCCGGGGCCTGGGATGGTGCCGGCCACGGCGGCCGCTTGAGCGGCGGCGGCTGCCTGGGCCGTGGCCGCTTGTTGCTGCATCTGCCGGTGGCATTGGCGCAGGTCAAATACCTGGGGGTGATGTCAAAAACTCCTGGGGGTGTCCACCAGAGGAGTCCTGGGGGACAACAAGGATGCCCAGGAGCCACCACCGGGGCCTGGTGGTCAAGGAGGCCAATGGCATCCTGGGGGGCATGAGGAAGAGCATGGAGAACCTCAAGGGAGGTCATCCTGCCCAGGATGCCCAGGAGCCAGGAGAGGTTGGGGGTGACTTGTTGGGAAGCAGCTCTGAGGAGAAAGACCTAAGAGTCCTGGGGGACAACAGGATGCCCAGGAGCCAGCAATGGGCCCTGGTGGCCAAGGAGGCCGATGGCATCTTGGGGGGCATCAAGAAGAATGTGGAGAACCTCAAGGGAGGTCATCCTGCCCCTCTGCTCTGCCCTGGGGAGGCCCCAGCTGGAGCACTGGGACCAGTTGTGGGCTCCCCAGTTCCAGAAGGACAGGGAAGTGCTGGAGAGGGTCCAGCAAAGGGCTACAAAGAGGATGAGGGGACTAGAAGATCTCTCTTGGGAGGAAAGGCTGAGGGACTTGGGGCTTTTGAGCCTGGAGAAGAGAAGGCTGAGGGGGGATCTGATCAAGGCCTGGAAATCCTTCCAGGGTGGGGGTCAGGAGGATGGGGCCAGGCTTTTTCCAGTGGTGCCCAGGGACAGGACAAGAGGGAACGGGCACAAACTTGAATAGAAGAAGTTCCATCCCAACGTGAGGAGGAACTTGTTGACTTTGAGGGTGGCAGAGCCCTGGCAGAGGCTGCCCAGGGAGGTGGTGGGGTCTCCATCTCTGGAGACATCCCAAACCCACCTAGACACGTTCCTGTGGGACTTTCTCTGGCCGGGGGTGGGACTGGGTGACCTCCAGAGGTCCCTTCCAACCCCATATGTTGGGGGTGGGGGACACACCTCCACAGGGTGACATGGGAGGGGGATGCCCCAGTGCCCCCCCTCAGCATGGAGGGGCTCCCTCCACCCCTGGGGTCCCTCCATCATCCCTTAGGATCAGTGTCCCTTTACCCAGGACCCCATTTCACATGGTTATGGGGGTCCCTCCACCCCTGGTCCCCCCTTTCCACCCCAGACCCATGGCGGGGGGGGGCCACCCCACCTTGATGTACGCTCGGGGGTAAACCTTGTGGACGGCGTCTCCGGGGGCCCTCCCGGCCTCCCTGTCCAGGTGGTAGCTCTGGAGGAAGATGGGGTGGTCGCTCCGACACCGCAGCCACACGTCGCCCTCGCCCCGACACTCCAGCTGCACCCCCTTCCCAATGTGCAACCTGTCCCACGGGCAGGGGGGGGGAAACCTCAGCACCGGCACCCCCCGGGCACCCCCAAACCCCCCTGTATCCCCCTTCCACCCCATCATCCACCATGAGCCCCTATATCCCCCCACCTGCCCCTTCATAACCCATTTGCCCCCCTATATCCCCCCACCT